CAATTTTTTGGACATTGCGAGTAAAAACCTAGACCTAACACAGACCTAATACAGATCTAACTTAGAACCTAATCTAAAAACCTAGACCTAACACAGACCTAATACAGATCTAACTTAGAACCTAATCTAAAAATCTAGACCTAACACAGACCTAATACAGATCTAACTTAGGGCCAGCATACACTTACAACGTTCAAGTCATTTTAGAAGCAGAAAACTACCAATTTAAGAAAATTATAAAAGTATAGGTTAGTTTTGAGACCCGTCCATCTTACGTCTAGGTTAGGTGTCCACACGCAATTAGTAAAAATCATCTGAGCAGAAACTTGTGTTCTGTTCAATGTCTTTTAGAATCTGGAGTCTTGACTCGCGAAAAACTTAACCTCTAGATCTAACCCAAACCTGACCCAGACCTAACCTAGACCTCGAAATATTATCGTAAAGCGTAAAGTATACTAGTCATTCGCAGCTAACGGGTTAACTTTGTGTAACGTTTGTTGTGGCACTTCCCAATAGAGATTGAATCGTTTCTATTTTATAAAAAGTTCTTCCGTGAAAATATTGGTGACGCGTTCTCGCGTCATCCGCACTCAAGCGAGAAACTTCGATGGCATATACCCGCGTCATAAGTTGCCAATTTGTTACTCCTTCACCCATCGATATTTATCGAATGCTCCGGAGATTTAAAAAATAGATCGCTGGCTGTTCGACTGCGGTATGAGTATATACCGGGTGAACAAAATAACTTGATGGATTGGAGCCGCCGTGTCAGTTGACGCGTTCAGAGAATCGCCGGAACAAAGAGCACGTTCGCCTAGTTCTTTTCCTCGTTTGTCCGTAGCCACCGTTACATCGCCGCTGACAAAATCTTTTGTACGGTGATTAATACGAATTTCAGCCCGGTTGTCCGACGTCTTTGTAGAATTTCACGGCTTACGTCGCCGAAATTCTAAAAGCCGGCACGCATATTTACGAGGCTCCGCGAGAGTGCGCGCAACGTGTCGAAGTGATTTTTTCCGATGGACGATGTTCGAGTTCCATCGACGGTCGAAACAAAGAAAATCGATTCCCGCGCGAGAAAATACTCCTGGCCGCGCCGAACGTGAAGTCGATCGAATGTCGCTGGTTCGTTCGAGAACGTGCCGAATGTTCTCGAGCGATCGACAAACCTTTTCTAATCGACAAATCTTTTTCGCGTAATGTATCTGTCGCGATTGACTGCGGAACGAACGTTCCTGTCAGCCAAGACACCTGCGAACCATTTATATTTTTTATGTAATTAACGAAACACGGTTCGGGTATGTAAATATAAAAGACATTATTTATTAAAGTCACAGCTCGTACGTTCGTCACCTTCCCCGCTCCACTTCCTTCCGCCTGAAATATGATTGATAATTATTTGCAACATGGTCGTTCTTTTCGATTACGATGAAAATATGTTATACAGTTCGATGTTTCGAACAACTTCTTCCTTTGCATGAAACGTCTGTCTGCTTTAGTTTCTAAGATATTCGCGAAGAACTGTCGACCTAATTCAGACCTAACCTACAATTGACTTAAACCTAACCGCAAATTAATTCCAATTTGAATAGATAGTTGAAATTCAAAAGATATATATTTTTGCGCATATTATTTTATTTATTTTGCGCTTATTATAAAGATTGTTCGCAATTACCTTGACAACGTATCTCAAGGTCGTCGAAAAAGATGAGGTACCCCATTCGATGGATTGCTGTCCCAAGTGAAAAAAAAAGAAAATTAAAAATTGAAATAAAATTGAGAAAGTAAAATTACGAACTCGGATAACATAAAGAGGATAGAATTAGAAATTAAAATGAAATGAGAAAAGTGACATTAAAGATGAAAGTAAAATGAAATGAAATAAAATAAAATTAGATATTCAATTAGAATAACGAAAGTGAAAGTAAGAATTAAAATAAAATGAAAAATGTAAAGTTAACGATCAATGTAAAATGAGAAGATTAAAGCTAACAATTAATGTAAAACGAGAAAATTAGAAATAAAAATTCAAATCAAATTAAGAAAATATAATCGTAAATTCTAATAAAAGTAAAAGGAAGGAAAATTGGAAATTCAAATGAAATTAAGTAAAATAAAATTAGATATTTAAATAGAATAACGAAAGTGAATGTAGGAATTAATATAAAATGAAAAATGTAAAGTTAACGATTAATGTAAAATGAGAAGATTAAAGCTAACAATTAATGTAAAACAAGAAAATTAGAAATAAAAATTCAAATAAAATTAAGAAAGTAAAATTGGATGTTCAAATAAAGTAAAATAAGATAAAATTAGAAATTCAAATAAAATGGAAATAGTAAAATTAAGGATTAATGTAAAATGAAAACAAAGTAAGCTGAAACATTGAAATAAAATGAAGAAAGTGAAATATAAAATTCACACGCGAAAAGTATTGAATAAATAAAGAATACGGAGCGTACTGCGATCGAACATTGATTAAATCGTACTCCAATAACGATAATTTTATTCTACACTATGTTATACATGCTTGGTATGTTACAAAACGATGCTGCCGTATAATCGTGTGTCCGGCACGTTGGGATCAACGAATCCAGTGTCTTCGGCGTAGCGTCCGACTTTTGCGAAGAGACGATTCGTTCGTAAGGAGAGAAACAAGAGAACTATTGAGAATAAGGAAGAACTATTGCTATTTACATAACATGGTTTGCTGTTTCCACGCACATGAAGTTAACCTACTGTGTATCATTGCGTACCGAGAAACAGGATATTTTCAGTTTCAGCACGATAGATCGACGAATTACCGTGACATTGTTTAACGCTGCGAAGCGACGTCCTTCGGATTTATTAATCATCCGAATTCGTACCTGAATGAGCTGAAAATTGTCGACAGACCGAACGGTCATTAATCCTGGAAAGGCTGGACCTTGAACACTCACTTTCAAAAGAGACCAAAAAGCAAACCGCGGTTCTGTTCATGCTCGTTTTAGTATTCCGGACGCCGAGCATTATCTTCCGTCACCTGTTTTCTTTCATTGACAAATAGTCCCCATTTTTGTAATTTAAAGAAGTGAATTTCGCAGTGACTTATTTATGCTGGAAACTGAAACCAAAGTCCTAAATTTCAGAGTCCCAGAGAACAAAATGTAAGATCCAGTTTTTGAGGGATGTTCCAGAATGCAGGGACCTAGGTTCCTTTTAACAGTATATAGATTGCTGGAGCGAATCTATTTGACTCATTTACGATTTTATATATATATAATAGATTATAGATAATTTATTTTAACTATTTTAATTTATTTAATTTAAATTTTGATAATTTTTTTTAAACATGTGCTGGCCATGATTCTATCAAAAACCAACATATGTTTAACAAAACCTTGTTATGTTTATATATAATCTTAATAATAAAATCCTAAATGAATAAAATTGACCCGTTTCGGCAATCTAATATTAAGGGACCCCTAACCTAAGCCCCCAAAATGATTATTGTAAAATAATTATTGTTCCAATACCTAAGAACCAAGAACAATCTCCAAATATAGTGCAAGATTGAATCATCATCATCTTGGAGGACAATTCCAGGCTACCTGAAAGGAGATCAGAGGTTAAGACTGGGATTAAAAGTAGATCCAACATCTAGGATGACCTAGAAGGGAAGATGCAAAACCGAGACTGGTCTTAAAAAGAAGATCCAGGATCTAGATTGGTCTTGAAAAGAAGATCCAAGACCTAAACTGGCCTTGAAAAGAGGATCCAAAACCTCGACTGGTCTTCAAAAGGGGGCCCATAACCTAAACTGGTCTTGAAAAGAAGATCCAAGACCTAAACTAGTCTTGAATAGAGGATTCATAACCTAGACTGGTCTTGAAAAGAGGATCCAAGACTCAGACTAATCTTGAAAAGAGGATCCATAACCTAGACTAGTCTTGAAAAGGGGATCCATAACCTAGACTAGTCCTGAAAAGGGGATCCATAACCTAGACTGGTCTTGAAAAGAGGATCCAAGACTCAAACTGATCTTGAAAAGAGGATCCATAACCTAGACTAGTCTGGAAAAGTGGATCCATAACCTAGACTGGTCTTGAAAAGAAGATCCAAGACTCAGACTGGTCTTGAAAAGAAGATTCAAAATCTAGACTGGTCTTGAAAAGAAGATTCAAAATCTAGACTGGTCTTGGAAAATAGATGTGACCTTGACCATGAGCAGAAGATCTAAAGCTCAGAGTGGCCTTCAGAAGAATAGTCTAGGTCCAGTTTTGAAGTAACGTTGCAAAATGCGTGAGCCTAGGTGCCTCTTAGAAGACAGTCCAAGCCTCCGCAATGATTATCGAAGATGTGTCTAGGATTCAGGGACCTGGAACATCCTCCAGAAATGATCACGCGTGGTAGAATGATTCTTGGGGATCAATTGAAGGACTTGGGTTCGTAGGGAGACGATGCTAAAGCTAGGATGATCTTCAAAGAAATATCGATTCGCCTCTAAAAGAAGGTTCAAGGTCCAGCTTCTGAAGGATCCTAATCAATTTAATCAACTCTTGTCGAAGTTTCAAGTGCTCTTAAACCCTGGTCTATTTGAAAAATGGCGCATAAACGAAAGTACAGTCCAAGCTCGCATTTTTATAATCGACAAGAAAGGATTGAAAAGTAATAAATTTCGCTTCGCAATAAATTCGAGACCTCGATAAAGGGGACACCGAGTGCGAAGGTAGCCACAGCAGAATTAGGATCAGCAAAATTCTGTCGGCGGGGCCCCCTGGTAGTTTCTCCTGGATAATTGCTCGGTGCAAATGAAAGAAAGCTGGCCGATCGCGAAGAGCCAATGTTGAACGCACGGATAATCGATGGCGGCCGATGATTGGCTGCCAGGATCCGCCAGGCCCGCTTCCGCGCGGAGAACAGCGTTGCCATAAGTCCCGTAAGCTTCGCTTGGACGCGGTCGCCGTAGCCGAAGCGCCGACTCCGACCTTGAAACCCTGGTCCCCGTCGCATGCTCGCGCTATCTAGGGCCGGCCCGTACCCTAATTATGCTCATCCAACGCGTGGACATGAGTTTTCTATACAGTGGGCCAGTTATCTATGTACATCGTGTTCGATCTGCCAGGGCATTCCGGTCGGATCCAGCTGGTTCCGGCGGGGCGCAGGGTCACGCGTGGCCTTGAAGGACATTCCTGAGTCTGCGACGGGTCGCGTCACCGCGCGACGAGTCCCGAACATGGAAACGCTTGTAATAACGCGTCTTCTCGTAGGACCGGTCGACGTCTCGACGTCGAAAAGAGGACTTGGGAAGCGTCGGTGGTGGCACGAAGATGCTGCCGATGGTTGATCCTCTTCCCGGTCCGCGAGCTTTCCAGATCCTTCGGGATTAGTCCGTCTTCCCTTTGCCGTTCTGCAACCGGCCGTTGTCCGTCTGCGTCGCTGGGTCGGTCTCCTTCGTTGAACAGGGTCTGGACCCCTTTCGGTCACGTTGATGCTGGTACGAGACGTCGTAGAAGTCCGCGAAGAGGAAGTAGAAGAAGATCGCGTTCGGGAGGATGAAGAACAGTGACCACTTCGGATAGTCGCAGTCGTAGAACAGCAGCTGGCAGCTGTGCAGGAAGGCGAGGCAGAATTGGCCCTGCGGAGAAGAGGATGTCAGTAAATCTTCGAAGGTTCTTCAGGGTGACCCGTAATTATGTTAACAGTCGGGAAGGGGCGATTCCTGAGGTCATTTCAAGTAACTTTTTCCTTAGCGAAAATGTTCTACGAGGCTTTGTTTACGAGTTATTCGCGAAAAACACTGACCAATGAGAGGCGAGCACGGCTGACGCTCCGCCCTCGCGAGCAATGAGATGCGAGCACGGCTGACGCTTCGCCTCTGCGACCGATGAAAGACAAGCATGGCTGACGTCCCGCCCTCGCAAGCAATGAGGGGCGAACACGGCTAACGCCCCGCCCTCGTGACCAATGAGTGGCGAGCGCGGCGACGCCCCACCATCGTGTCTACTGCCGCTGGGCTAGACGGCCGGCGCGAAGCGGCATTCACCGCAAGGGGCGGAACGCCTACCGCACTCGCTCTTCGATTGATCCGTGTTTTTTATGAATACAGTAATTTCTCCTGGAATTGCCAAATTTCGAGTTGCTGTAAATTTCCTTGTGCTAATTGGTGTCATGTGGCCTCCGAATTGACTTCGAATCGTGTCGTGTGGCTTCCGAATTAGAAAAAGAAGTTAAGTGATCGTTTTTATTTTCTGTATTCGAGTCTCGAGCCGCAAGGTTTAAAGAATCGCGACTTAGTATTCTCGGATCTGCCGATTTCAATTCTGATCCCCGAACATTTCTGGGAGAAATTACTGTGACTCGTAAACGAAGGTGCAGATTGCATTTTTGCTAAGGAAAAATTTACTTCAAGTCACGTCAGAATTCTCCCCTGGTTGTTAATATAATTACGGGACAGCCTGTAGAGGTTTGAAGGTTTTAATGGTCTAGTTCAATGTATTATACTCATAAAAAGTCGCTGTGCAAGGAGTGGGGGCAGGCGACGCATGCGCGGGACTCTCGCACAGCGGCGTGGCGCGTCTACCGGGTGAACATGATAATTCTGAACTGCCACGACGACGCGACGCAGGTTCTCTGTTTGATCGCAGTTCAGAATTATAATGTTCACCCGTTAGACGCGCCACGCCGCTGTGCGAGAGTCCCGCGCATGCGTCGCTTACCCCCACTCCTTGCGTAACTTATTTTCCTGTACGCATTGATCTAGTCTCTTCGGAGGTCGGTGACTCACCATTTGGAGGGTCGTGATGTACTTCTTCCACCACAAGTACTTCTGATACTGAGGCAGCAACGCAGCCAGCAGATAGTAGGTGTACATGATGATGTGCACGAAGCTGTTGATGACACCTGTGGAGGACAAAAGCAGGCATTTACTGGATCGGTAAGAAGTAAGTGGTAGAAACTTGTGGTTAGAGGATGGACTTAGATCATGGATGAGGACCTGGGACAATCCTTGAAGGATGAGCCATGATTCAGGGTACTATGGCATCCTGCACGATTGATGCTAAGTCGAATAATAGCTGACAGAAGACATTTAGGATTCAAAAAAGGACCAGAACTTAGGTGGACGTTGAAGAGAAGATAAATCGTTCGCGAGAAATTGTTTTTAGAGATGCTCTGTACCTCAAAAACGTAATAGAAAGAATCTTAGAAGACGACCCAAGCGTCCAGATTGACTATTGGAGGTCTTTCCAACATCTGAAGACCTACAGAGCTACAGACCTACATCAACGTCTAACATGATACTTGGAGGACACTTCAAGATCATACGGAATTTGACAGAAGATCAGGAACCTAGGACGATCTCGAAAGGGAGGGGGGGGGGCGGTCCAACATCTAGTTTGACTTCAAAACGCAGATCCGAAAGCTAGGGTGACCTTGACAAGAAGTTCCAAAAGCTAGTTTTACCCTGAAAAAGGAGAACTTAGAAAGAAGATACAAAACTTAGATTCATCTCGAAGAGAAGATGCAAAACATAGGTAGGCCCTGAATAGAAGTTTCAAAAGTTAGTTTTATCCTGAAAAGAAGATGGAGAACCTAGTCTAGCTCTTGAAGGAAGGTTCAAAACCTAGATTTACCTTGAAGAGAAAATCAAAAACCTAGGTTGGACTTGAAGAGAAGTTCCAACAGCTAGTTTTAGCCTGAAAAGAAGATGTTAAACCTAGCCTGGTCTGCGAAAGAAGGTCCAAAACCTAGGTTTACCTTGAAGAAAAGATGGAAAACCTAGGTTGGTCTTGAAGAGAAGTTCCAAAAGCTAGTTTTACCCTCAAAGAAAGATATAGAACCTAACCTAGTTTTCAAAAGAAGGTCCAAAATCTAGGTTTACCTTGAGGAAAGATCGAAAACCTAGGTTGGCCTTGAAGAGAAGCTCCAGAAGCTAGTTTTACCCTGAAAAGAAGACGTAGAGCTTAGCCTGGCCTTGAAAAGAACGTCCAAGACCTAAGTTTATCTCGAAGAGCAGATCAAAAACCTAGGTTGGCCTTGAAGTGAAGCTCCAAAAGCTAGTTTTACCCTGAAGAAAGGATGAAGAACTTAGGTTCACCTCGAGGAGAAGTTCAATAACCTGGTTTGGCGATGATAAGGAGATCCAAGGCTTAGTTCTTGAAGAGTGCTTCAGGATCCAAGGACAAAAGGTAAAGCAGAATAATAATGGACATACCTATGAAGGTGCCATGGCCACCCGGATAGTACTTGGTGGCTCCCCATGAGATCATCGGCATCACCGTGTGATGGTACAAGTGGAGGAACGTGATCTGGCTGTCCTTCTTCCTCAGCACGAAAAACACCGTGTCCAGCAGCTCGGAGATCTTCGCCAGAAAGTATATGTACACGCCTCTGGCGACCTAGAAAGTCATTCCACAATTGACATGTGACGACACGCGCGGAATCCCGATTTTTCGAATCTTCACAATGAGGCTTTATGTTTGTGGTTTTGTTAACACTGAATATGTAATGAAATCCAATTTTTAGTAAGATTTATGAAAAAATATGTGATTATAAATTGCCATTTATAATTACGGATATGTTAGGATTTCAAATCATCACCAATTAACAACTAATTTGCGATTCATCAACAATTAATTCAGAACAATTTGACAATAAATTGGCGACAATTTAACAATGAATTTACAAGAATTTCAGAATAACTTGGTAACAGTTTCACAATAAATTAGCAACAATTAAACAATAAATTGACAACAATTTAACAATAAATTGGCAATCATTTAACAACAAATTGGCAATGATTAAACAATAAATTGGCAGCAATTTAACAGCAAATTAAAAACTAATTACAAACCAATCCAATTAATAGGGAATATTTAATACAATTATTTTTTTAACAACATTCCTAAATAGAAATATAGTTATGAAATATTCAATATGCAGTATAAATTAATTATTAAAATTAATTATATATACAATGTAATATTATATGTATAATATTTATCAATATTAAAAATTGGAGGGATAATCTTTAAATTAGTATTCACAACTAACCTAAATTATTCGACGTTATGATTAGTTATAAAAATCAATTTATTTTCAAAGAAATTTAAAAATTCAAAATTTTTCTAGCAAAATTAAAAATAATAGATATCATTTATTATATAAAAAAATAAATACTAGTATTAAATATGATTATAATGCTATTCTAAATTTAAATAAATTTATTGAGAACTATAAAACGAATATTTGAGGAAGCCTGTAAGCATAGTTAAGGCGATCAGGATTACCCTCATGGCCTCCGGTGTGGTAGAGAAGTCGACTGGCTGGCACTTCCAACTGTACTTCCTCAGCCAGGCTCCGTCGAGGCCCTCGTAGAACAGCCAGCAGCTGAGCAGGACCTGCAGGAAGTTGTAGACCACGAGGACGTTCCTCAGCTTGTACGGTTTCCTGTGCTCCATCTGTCTGGGACCCCATGACAGGCAGAAGTACAGGTAGCCGATCAGCAGACTGACACCCGGCACTGGCGACGCTATCATGAACCATTCTCTCGTCCGTGGATCTTCGAATTACAATGAAAACGTCAAACAACAATCGATCTCGGATCGAAAGAATTGTTTCGGGATCGATGTCGCACGGTGGTCTCGCTTCCCTATACAGCTGGCCAAAATTCACACAGCACGGTATGTATTATATTATATTTTTGTGGAAATTGTATTTTGGCCAGTTATTCAGTGAAAAGGGACCGCAGTGCGTAAGTCATAAATTTTGCAGAGCCTTTTATTATTGAAAAACGACTTACCGGAGAGGTCGTGGAAGACATACTGGTAGAATCGAACCGCCGAGTTGTTGTAGATGTTGGACATCTTGTCGAGCGAGGGAGTACCGCTGATGTTCATTTTGTAGACTGGAATATACAGAAAATTATTATTACTATTAATTATATTGATATTATTTATTATATATTATAAGTTATATGTTAGTATTACTTGTTGTATATTATGAATTATGTATTATTATTATTTATCATTATTATTGATTAATAACAATTTCATCAATCTTGACCTTTTGTGGAAATATTCGAGATCATTATGAAATTTATAATCATGATCAAATATTACATATATAAATATCGTAAAATATTGAATATATAAATATTATGACATATTAAATGTATATAAATATTACGAAATACTTAATATATAAACATTATAAAATATTAAATATACAAATATTATAAAATATTTAATATATAAACAATGCAAAATATTGAATATATAAATATTATAAAATATTAAAAATATAAAGAATATAAAACATTGCATATATAAATATTATAATATATTGAATATATAATTATTATTAAATATTACATATATAAATTTTTTGATATATTAAAAATGTAAATATTATGAAATATTAAATATGAAAACAATAAAAAATATTAAATATATAAGCAATATAACACATTGAATATGTAAATATTATAATATATAAATATTATTATATATTATTTAATTATTATTATATATATTATTAAATATAAAAAATATAAACAATATATATTATAACAATATATAAATATTGAATACATAGACATTATAAAATATTAAATGTATAAACAATATAAAATCTTGAATGTATAAACATCATAAAATGTTAAATACATAAACAATATTAAATATTGAATATGTAAATATTATAAAATATATTTAAGACATATAATCGTAATTTTCGAAGCGTGGGTGCCCGGTGGAAGAATGAACGGTCCCAATGGAAAAATGTCTAAATTCATCGTAGCGATTGGTTCATTCCGGCTGACATGGGTGTCGCAATGATTGTCACGGACCGATTGCTGAAATTTACATTCCCAGTTGAAATCTGCGTACGAACAGGTTCCGATTCCATGTCAGGCTATCCGGCGCGCGGTGGAAAGCAGGTGAAGGTGCGGTCAATTTCGCAGCTTCTAATGACAACGATTAAACGGCTTGCTCAATGGCAATGTTAGTGCACCGCGGAAGGATCTCTACCGTTCTATTCGCTTCCCTCGGGCCGCGAGCCGAGAAACAATCGCCGGTGATCGTCGGCGAAATTAAGTGCCGTTCACTAGCCAATTTCGACTGGCGATGCTTTTCCAACGCGACCGTTCAAGGACACCGCGGACTTTCCAAAAGAAAATCTATTCGGATGCGAAGTTACGACGGCAGTTTAACTTGTCAGAGATTTNAATATTGAATATATAAATATTAAGACATATTAAATGTATATAAATATTACGAAATACTTAATATATAAACATTATAAAATATTAAATATACAAATATTATAAAATATTTAATATATAAACAATGCAAAATATTGAATATATAAATATTATAAAATATTAAAAATATAAAGAATATAAAACATTGCATATATAAATATTATAATATATTGAATATATAATTATTATTAAATATTACATATATAAATTTTTTGATATATTAAAAATGTAAATATTATGAAATATTAAATATGAAAACAATAAAAAATATTAAATATATAAGCAATATAACACATTGAATATGTAAATATTATAATATATAAATATTATTATATATTATTTAATTATTATTATATATATTATTAAATATAAAAAATATAAACAATATATATTATAACAATATATAAATATTGAATACATAGACATTATAAAATATTAAATGTATAAACAATATAAAATCTTGAATGTATAAACATCATAAAATGTTAAATACATAAACAATATTAAATATTGAATATGTAAATATTATAAAATATATTTAAGACATATAATCGTAATTTTCGAAGCGTGGGTGCCCGGTGGAAGAATGAACGGTCCCAATGGAAAAATGTCTAAATTCATCGTAGCGATTGGTTCATTCCGGCTGACATGGGTGTCGCAATGATTGTCACGGACCGATTGCTGAAATTTACATTCCCAGTTGAAATCTGCGTACGAACAGGTTCCGATTCCATGTCAGGCTATCCGGCGCGCGGTGGAAAGCAGGTGAAGGTGCGGTCAATTTCGCAGCTTCTAATGACAACGATTAAACGGCTTGCTCAATGGCAATGTTAGTGCACCGCGGAAGGATCTCTACCGTTCTATTCGCTTCCCTCGGGCCGCGAGCCGAGAAACAATCGCCGGTGATCGTCGGCGAAATTAAGTGCCGTTCACTAGCCAATTTCGACTGGCGATGCTTTTCCAACGCGACCGTTCAAGGACACCGCGGACTTTCCAAAAGAAAATCTATTCGGATGCGAAGTTACGACGGCAGTTTAACTTGTCAGAGATTTCGCAATTTTTAATCGAGCAATTAGTGTCGTTTATTTTCCACTCGTTGCAAGAGAATTATTGGGTTTTGTTGAATATTGCAGCGATCGTAACATTCGATACACCCTGTATAATATTTATCGAAATTCTTTTTGGCGAATCACTGCATTGAATTTTTTATTTGTGGTAGGAGAAGGTTTTTATTGAATATTTCAATCTTTGTAAAATATAATACAGCTTCTATAACATTTGTCAAAATTCAATTTTAAGTATTAAAAATATTTTGTTGTCTGCTTGATGCAAGGGAACAATTGAGAGAGGAGAAATTTTGTTGAATATTGCAGCGATCGTAATATTTGATTCACCCTCTATAAAATTAACCAGAATCTTATGAACATCTGTAGTTCATTTTATATTTATATTTTATATTTACATTTCATATTTTAAGGCAAGGGACTAAAATTTTATTGAATTTGAGAATGACTATAAAAAAATGGTACACCATGTATAAAAATTGCCAGAATTCAGTTTTTAAAAATTATTCCATTTGGTATTTTACTTAATGCAAGCGACAAAGTGAAAGAGAAAATATTTTATCGCATACCGCAATGACTGTAAAACGTAACACCCATTGTATATAATTTATCAAAAATTTAAAAAGATCAGCATACTTTATTTTTTTGCCAAATGCAAGAGGAGAGTCGAAAGAGAACAAAAATTTGTTCTTAATGTTTCAGAGAACATAAAATATAATCAGCTGCATAAAATTTACCAAAATTCAATTCAAAAAATTGAATAGAGGGGAAAAAATTGTGATCGAATATAGATCGTATGTTAGTCCCAAAGTCGGAAACATGTGTGAAGATTAAAAGGTGCACGAACGTAATTTCCAGCCTCGGCTGCCATTCAGCGGTTGCGTGAACGAACTACCTCGCCGTTTAGAGCGAGACCTATGAAATACCGTTCGACGGTAACTTATAGGCGGCGTCACGTAAACGTGCCTTTCCTCTCGACGCAACTGGAACAGAACACCGGTGCAGAGGAGACCGTGACGTCTAATGCCGCCAGAGGCAAGGACACCTCGCGGACATCGGCCTGCAATCTGCCCGGAGTTATGGGCGCTCGTAAAAATCAAATGTAACAATCGTCGATTATCTAACAGTCGCGTTGAAAGTCCAGTTTCGAGAAAAAAGAGATCCTTGAGTCGCGAGATTAGTGATCGTTAAGCCACTTTCTGTAAGAGAGCATTCCAAGACAAGTGGGCAATTGTTTAAAACAGCCGCAAAAACGTTGATTTTAACACGTTTCCGAAATTGAAAAGAATGGGAGTGGAAATTAGGAGTTTACAATTTTTATTCAATTTCTATAGACACTCAGAGTGGGCGTGGTTTACATGCTCTCAGCCGAGACCACGCCCACTCGGCGTAGCCAAGACAGTGCCCTGTAGGGCATTCTGTATCCTCGTTCAAAATAATATCTATAGGAGATCAAAAGTAATTCGTAGAATTTACGAGAAATATAGGAGTAATCCAAAGAAAATACAAAAAAATTGCCAACGCGATTGGAAGATGTTGGGGCAGGTAGTGGGCGTGGCTCTGTGGCTCTATAGGCAGTCTAGAGAGCGTCTCAGGTTTAGTATAGATGTTAAGAGATGTTTGAGGGCTGCGAAAGAATCTACAGAGGCGGGAAAAGCTGAATTAACTTTAAAAAAGTAAGTAATCAAGGTTATAGAGGGGGATTGTGGGCGTGGTTTCATGGCTCCTTATGAAGTCAAGACAATGTTTCATACCCAGCATGGAGCTTAAAAAATTCTTAGTGGCTGAAGTCGAATAACAGATGTCGAAGAAGCAGGATTACTTCAAAGCAAAGAAAACGAAGACATCAAAATAATAGGGAAGGGTAGTGGGTGTGGTTTTATTGCTCTCTACGAAGCCTAGATAGCATCTCATACCTATTTCAGAGCGTAATTGCAGATTCTGTAGTGTTCTGGTGAGAAAACTAGTTGCGAAAGAGATCCACAAAGAACAGATAAGCAAAATCAACTCGAAAATAAGAAAATAAAATCATCAAGATATTATGGGAGCTCAGTGGGCGTGGTTTCGTGGCTCCCTATGAAGTCTGTACAGTGTTTTAGATCTAGTATCAGGACCACTATGAAGTTGGAAACTGAATAGGAGCAGCAGAGCCTGGGAGGATAGAATGAACCTAGAAGAAAGATAATAAAATTGCCAAGATAATGGAGATGGAGAAGTGGGCGTGGTTCAGCTGCTATGGGTGGATCTTATTATTGTGCTACAAAATTCGTATCGTGTTTCACAAGTAGTACAGTGTCTGTAATGAATTTTTCTGGTCGAGAGAGAATTGAATATCCTAAAAAAGCAGGATAGGAAGAAATGAAGATCCCTAAGTAAATTGGAAGGGCAAATGGGCGTGGTTATGTTGCAATAGGCGGATACAGTGCTGACATTAACACCTAACACAGAGTTCATGAGAAAATGTAGAACTTGAGATGGAACTATGTATTCTAGAAGAAAAAGGAATTGATCCAGTAGAAGGGAAAGAAAATTTCAAAGTAAGTTGAGGGATTAAAGTGGGCGTGGTCCTATTGTTTTGGT